TCAGGGGGGCACAACGGGGTCCAGGGGGGAGGGGGGGGGCCGGGAGCGGCAGCAAGAGGCGGCAGCGACGGTGGTGGTGTCGGCACACCTTGGCCCGGTGGCAGTGACTGGGGAGGAGCGGTTGGCGGCATGGCCCTCGCCAGACCCCTCGCCGAACCTCTCCCCGGGGCTGGCGGGGGGGGGGGGGGGGGGGGGGAGGGGCATCCGGCCGGGCCCCGCGCACGCGCGGGCGCGCGCCATGGGAGCCCACAGAAGGGCAGACCGAAACACCCAGGGTCTCCGGGTGCGGGGTGACCCGACGCTGTGGGGGGGGGGAACGCAAGTGAAATGCAGGGTCAGAAGCCGGGCGAAGGTGATTCCAGGAAGGCGGGAGGGGCCATGGCGGCGGGAGGGGCAACGTCCGAACGCACTCGGCCTCCTCATCCGACCAGGGGATACGCGCGCGACGCTCGCGGGTTACCCCGAACCGAGGGTCGGTGCGCTCCATCAATGCACGGCTATTGGCACCGCTGGCCCCGGTCCCGGTGCTGCTGGACGAAGAAGAAGAGGAGGAGGGGGAATTGCTGGCCGGCGGGGAGGAACTCGGCGCCGTGGAAGGCGAGTGATCGGCATCGCCGCTGGTTGGACTGCCACTGGTCGAGTCGGCCCCCTCCACCGGCGACGTGGGGACCATCATGGCCGTGGAGAGGGTGGTGACCAGGTTGCCGCCGCCGCCGCCGCTGCCGTTGCCGCCGCCGCCGCCACCGCCGCCACCGCCACCGCCATCCCCGGACGAGGCGCGCCCCTCGGGGCTAATGGCGGGGGTCAGCAGGGTGCTGGGCGCCGCCGGGGTGGAGACGGGCATGGCGCACGCAGAGGAGGAGGGGCAGGGGGGACCGACGGGCGGGGAATCGGCGGACTACACCGAAGACTCGTATGTGGCGGCTGCGAGCAACCGAGCGGCGGAAGGCGCGAGCACAGGGAGGGGAGAGGGGGGGAAGGGGGAAGGGAGAAGGGGGGGGGCGACCGCACAACAATGGAGCCGGCGCGTCGATCTGGCGATGCCGGCAGACAGGGCAGCAGGGGGATCGGTGGAAGATGTCAGCAGCAGCAGCGGCAAGCATGCCGGCTTCGACCGGCCGCGCGTGGCCAGGGTGGCGAGGCTCATGGCAGAGGCGCCACATGACAGGGCGAACGAATGGGCGACCGCGGAGAGGGATGGGACGTACGTGGCTGGGAGATGTGGGGGAGGGGGGACCGGCGGGGG